TGCACAAACTCTTCCGAACTGTTTCGACTGGGAAGCATGCAGACGCCTTTTACTGACTCAAATGAACGAAATGAGTTGAAAGCGGTGATTTATTTACATTTCTAAACGTTAAAACACAACATTGGAATTGTACTTTACATGGAGCCAACAGTCGGCGAATGTAACCGCTGAAAACCCTACATACGAGAAGGGTTTTGGAGAGCTAGTTACTTTAGTGCCTCGGTATCTAGACGATAAGTTACCAGTATCGCAATATTTTTTGCATGCCAAAAATTAAAAACACAAAGCAGATCAAACTCTTTTGTCCTTTAAAAAAACTGTCTGTATGTAAAATATTGTGTGCTATAGCTTGGAAAATAAACATGTGACTCTGGATGACAACATAATGATGTTTGCATCCAAAATTAGGGCTGTTTTCCGGATACTAACAAGTACCATGATACTGGTGTCATTCCGGACCCGTAGCTAGCACCTGGCTAAGGAAACCCGTTCACTAGCTAGCACCTGGCTAAGGAAACCCGTTCACTAGCTAGCACCTGGCTAAGGAAACCCGTTCACTAGCTAGCACCTGGCTAAGGAAACCCGTTCACTAGCTAGCGTCATTACCAATGCCGCGATAGGGCAGCGCGAGAAAACACTGTGCCCCCATTTGACGAGAAGCATCCAGCTGCAGAGTGTGCGATGACGCCGCGTGGTCTGAGTCTCAGATGGTATTTTAGCGTCCCAAATGGTATGTGCGCGCGCAACCTGTAGAGGTTTGTTGGTCTTGTGGATCGCGCGAGTCAGTATCTTTGTTCCAGGGCATTATGTTAACCACTGTTGCTTGTGCAGCTAGTTAGTACACACTAACTAGCTAGTACCCAGTGGTGTAAAGTACATATGGAATTGTTTTAAGATGGTCTTACTATAGATCATTTAGCTATTTGATTTTGAATTTTAGGACCCCTTTAGGACAATATTTGACAAAATATAGAATTTGGCTATTACCACTATAGTCCATAGAAACGCAATTGAATACAACATTCGAAATTGGCAAATAAGACAGTCTAAAAATTAATAATAACAAACAAGGTTTTATAATAATAATAATATGCCATTTAGCAGACGCTTTTATCCAAAGCGACTTAGTCATGCGTGCATACATTATTTTATTTTTTTGTGTATGGGTGGTCCCGGGGATCGAACCCACTACCTTGGCGTTACAAGCGCCGTGCTCTACCAGCTGAGCTACAGAGGACCATCATTTTGAAGTGTTTGTCCTATATCTAGGAGATATAAGAAACATATACTAGGCCCTTTACGACTTCCCCTCCAACTACCACCAGCTAGGCCCTTTACGACTTCCCCTCCAACTACCACCAGCTAGGCCCTTTACGACTTCCCCTCCAACTACCACCAGCTAGGCCCTTTACGACTTCCCCTCCAACTACCACCAGCTAGGCCCTTTACGACTTCCCCTCCAACTACCACCAGCTAGGCCCTTTACGACTTCCCCTCCAACTACCACCAGCTAGGCCCTTTATGACTTCCCCTCCAACTACCACCAGTAGCAGTAGACCATATTTAGATGCTGCGTCAGCTACAAACAGCGGAGTATTCTTGGAATGTGAGAAAGTTAATTTCAAGCAGAGCAGATTGTGTGAAAGGAATGTAGGACAAAAGGGTTGGCCAGTAACCGAAAGGTCGCTGGTTTGAATCCCGGAGCTGACATGGGGTGGAAATCTGTCGATGTACCCTTGAGCAAGGCACTTAACCCTTTCTTGTTCCTGTAAGTGGCTCTGGATAAAAGCGTCTGCTAAATGATTAAAATGGAAAATGCTACCTCGCACTCCGAGCAAGGTGCAGGAATTGAGGCGCAAATTGAATTGAAGAGGAAATTCAACTCTTGAGTTACTGAATTTTCTCTTCAGAAAGGCTTGTAGGGCCAAATACGTAGCATATAGGTCTAGACCAGTGTTTTGCTTGCCTTTTTCCACTTAGCCAACACACAGTTCCTTCCAGTTTCCACACAACGTCATAATTACTGCTTCAGGAAACACACCAGGCTTAATGTTCAGCAGGTAGAGAATCCTTAATGTTCAGTAGTGAATCCTTAATGTTCAGCAGGTAGTTAGTAGTAGAGAATCCTTAATGTTCAGTAGAGAATCCTTAATGTTCAGCAGGTAGAGAATCCTTAATGTTCAGTAGAGAATCCTTAATGTTCAGCAGGTAGTTAGTAGTAGAGAATCCTTAATGTTCAGTAGAGAATCCTTAATGTTCAGCAGGTAGTTAGTAGTAGAGAATCCTTAATGTTCAGTAGAGAATCCTTAATGTTCAGCAGGTAGAGAATCCTTAATGTTCAGCAGGTAGAGAATCCTTAATGTTCAGCAGGTAGTTAGTAGCAGAGAATAGGGTGCGATTTTTGGGATGCAGACAATGAAAGCATGTATGTGATTCACTCAGAAACAATGGTTTATCATCACGTTTCATTCAGACCACCTCAGAGATTGTGGAATGTTGAGATGAGTCAGTCACATGATCCATGGCCTCAGATGTAGATAATTAGGCCTAGGCTGCTATGCTTCAACCCCAATGGCAAAGTTGGACAGACAGTCTAATTCCATCGTTTTAGGCGGTGCCTTTCTTTCCCGTTGGGATTGAGAATGAGATGTAGACTTGGCCTGTAAAGACAGTAGCATGGGACAAGGACTTATCTTATCACAACATAAACGCCACCTTTTGACGTCTTGCCGTTGGAAAAACCTGTGAAGTGATTTTAAAACCCCTTTGATACCAGCGTTGTGAATTTGTGATTGTGTCTGTTCTAAGTTGCCTCAACTTTGGCTAATAGTGTTGTAAATGTCTGTTCTAAGATTACAAGGATAATGTAAAAAAATTAACTCAAGATCTCGTTTGTTGTCTCCCTTTCTGTCTGTCTGTCTGTGTGTCTGTCTCCCTGAATGTAGCCGACTCTATCTCAATAAGAAGACCAGTGACAAGCAGCCCTACAGTAAGCTGGCAGGGGTCTCTCTACTGAAGCCTCTGAAAGGAGTAGACCCCAACCTCATCAATAACCTGGAGACCTTCTTTGAGCTCGACTACCCCAAGGTACTACCTGTTCTGTATTGTATTGTTAGGGAATTGGTTAGGTAGTTTTAGACAGCGCACTACCACTTCCACTCCATTCCCCCAGGGGGCAGCAGAAACCTTGTCCAGGCGCTGAGCCTGGTTGAAAAGGAGAAAGGTGCTGCCAATTATGGTGATGGTCAGTCAGTGTCGCAGCTGGCAGAGCCGTGAGGAGGCTGGGGTTTGGTGGCCATGATGCCTTTTGTTTGGTTTTGAATCTTTAGTTTGGGCATGCCTGTTTTAGTGATGGAGGTGGGGACATCGATAAGTTACATTTCGGGATATTATTTTTGACGATGTATCGTTTTGACAATATCGCAATATTATTTTTGTGCTAGTTGGATGTACCTGCACCAAAACTCCAGTATTTTACCTTCATAGGTTGTTCTACATCTTTTTAAATAGGGAGACAATTTGTTTTCAGCCCTTTTATTTCCATGACTGATCAAAAACGTGTTTTCTCCATGGCTCTCTCTGCCCCTCTGCAGCAGACATATGGTGAGCAATATGTGTTCGCAACATCGAATCACAATAAAATCACAGTATCGATTCGCATTACATATAGAATCCTGGCCATTCCCGTCCCTAGCCTGTTTGTGGTTTCCTCACCATCTGAACAAATGATAATCCGCTCGGACTGTCCGACCAAGAGTTCGAGAAGGAGCTGGCCCTGATCTCGGTAAGTTGCTGTCTCCTGGGAACATGTATATCCAACACGGTCCTCAAATGCTGATTTCTCACATTCATTCAGGATACAGACCTTGGCCCAGTTTCCCAAAAGCGATGGAATTTAGGCTTACAAGTGTTTTTAACGATGCATCTTTCCTACAACGTCTGAAGATGTAAAACGCGCTTCCCGAAACACCACGCAGAGAGAACGGTCGCTGAGTGCGTCATTGTAGCACGTGTCGATACTGAGAGGATCGGAAGAAAGGGAGCGCTGCTCTCGGATCAGCTTTCTCCATTCAAATCTTTCCTTAACATTATAATTATTTCACAATACTGACGACGGATCAGCTCCTAGAGAGAGCTCCTAGAACTATTAGCGAAATCATATAGACGCTGTTAGCTAAAGGCTAACGAGCGAAAACAAACAGAAACGAATTGCAAAGACAGGAAAATCCATCTCATAAAGTTATACAAGCATATCTAGTAGCTACTGAATGTTATTTTCGGTGAGTGTGGATATTTACAAGCGAAAGTGAACTAAATATATTGTGCAAATGAACAAAGTTGTGATGCATGCTTTTCTGAAGGGAGAGCAGCATGTGAACACAGAGCAGAGGGGAGGAGAACGGAGGAGGGGGAAAAAAAACACTAGTAGGAAGCACAGGGAGAAAATGGCCGCTTTACATAACTCATCCAGAGCTCTTTGACTTCTGGCAGAAAGCCATTTATAAGATATCTGATGGCAAACATTTAGTAGTGAATTGCATACAAGTCTAACTTAATCATCTCATGTGCGCCGCACAACTGAGACTCACCGATAGATATAGAACGCTATGGACTCACCGGCTCAAGCTTTCTGCTGTTGTGCCATTTTTACAAACAAATCACATGACGTGCTCAACTGTTCTGAGGATCTATGGTAAGCTTCATGACGTAATGAAGAAACCTGCTTTATCTCCTAATGTATTGCACAAGTTGACTGCAGGTATTAGCCTGCCCACCACCAAGCAATACAGTTAGACAGATCAAAGTAAGGCAGCAAACCAGAAGTAGCCGCTTCCTGTAGAACAACATGTTCTCGTACTGTAAAGGGAAACGTTAGACTGTGGTGCGTGTTACCAACCAAATCAGATGATTGACACAACGATAGCCTTTCACAACTGTCTTCACGCTTGCAGCGCTTTGGGTGAGTCAACACTATGCCGTACAGTACTTGGACGTGACGTATGGTTAGGGATGGGGTGACTGAGGTATTTAAAAACGCCCTGCCTTACCTTCAGATGGTGACGTCCTGTTTTAAAACAGGCCTTAGCCAACATGTCTGTACAGGTTCACTGTGTCAGGATCTCTTCATAGTCAATAGTAGCTGTGAAACAACATACCAGTGAGTCAGAAAACCAACCGCTGACATTTCTAGTGTGTGTCATCCCGAGTATTACAAGGGCAGATACATGGTAATGTATATAATACATACAGTGCATTCGGAAAGTATTCAGACCTCTTGACTTTTTCCACATTTTGTTACGTTACAGCCTTATTCTAAAATGGATTACATTAAAAATGTTTCCTCATCAATCTATACACAATACCCCATAATGACAAAGCGAAAAAACAGGTTTTTAGAAATGTTTGCAAATGTATTACAAATTAAAAACTGAAATACCTTATTTACATAAGTATTCAGACCCTTTGCTATGAGACTCGAAATATAGCTCAGGTGCATCCTGTTTCCATTGATCACCCTTGAGAGGTTTCTACAACTTGATTGGAGTCCACCTGTGGTACATTTAATTGATTGCACATGATTTGGAAAGGCACACACCTGTCTATATAAGGTCCCACAGTTGACAGTGCATGTCAGAGCAAAGACCAAGCCATGAGGTCGAAGGCATTGTCCGTAGAGCTCCGAGACAGGATTGTGTCGAGGCACAGATCTGGGGAAGGGTACCAAAAAATGTCTTCAGCATTGAAGGTCCCCAAGAACAAAGTGGCCTCCATCATTCTTAAATGGAAGAAGTTTGGAACCACCAGGACCCTTCCTGGAGCTGGCTGCCCAGCCAAACTAAGCAATCGGGGGAGAAGGGCCTTGGTCAGGGAGGGCAGAGCTCTAGAGTTCCTCTGTGGAGATTGGAGAACCTTCCAGAAGGACAACCATCTCTGCAGCACTCCACCAATCAGGCCTTTATGGTAGAGTGGCCAGACCGAAGCCACTCCTAAGTAAAAGGCATTTAACAGCCCGCTTGGAGTTTGCCAAAAGGCACCTAAAGGACTCTCAGACCATGAGAAACAAGATTCTCTGGTCTGATGAAACCAAGATTGAACTCTTTGGCCTGAATGCCAAGCGTCACGTCTGTAGGAAACCTGGCACCATCCCTATGGTGAAGCACGGTGGTGGCAGCATCATGCTGTGGGGATGTTTTTCAGTGGCAGGGACTGGGAGACTAGTCAGGATCAAGGGAAAGATGAATAGAGCAAAGTACAGAGAGACCCTTGATGAAAACCTGCTCCAGAGCGCTCAGGACCTCAGACTGGGGCGAAGGTTGACCTTCCAACAGGACAACGACCCTAAGCACAGAGCCAAGACAACGCAGGAGTGGCTTCAGGACAAGTCTCTGAATGTCCTTGAGTGGCCCAGCTGGAGCCTGGACTTGAACCCGATCGAACATCTCTGGAGAGACCTGAAAATAGCTGTGCAGCGACGCTCCTCATCCAACCTGACAGAGCTTGAGAGGATCTGCAGAGAAGAATGGGAGAAACTCCCCAAATACAGGTGTGCCAAGCTTTTAGCGTCATACCCAAGAAGACTTGAGGCTGTAATCGCTGCCAAAAGTGCTTCAACAAAGTACTGAGTAAATGGTCTAAATACTTATGTTAATGTGATATTTCAGTTTTTTTTAATACATTTGCAAACATTTCTAGAAACCTGTTTTTGCTTTGTCATTATGGGGTATTGTGTGTAGATTGATGAGGATTTTAGAATAAGGATGTAACTTAACACAATGTGTCAAGGGGTCTGAAAAGTTCCCCAATGCACTGTAGGGCACCAGGTGAAAAGTAGTATCAGTCAGAATAAGCCTCTGATTTACACAGTTGAAGTGTTCAGAGTAGAACACAGTTGAAGTGGTCAGAGGGCCAGTAGAACACTGTTGACGGGGTCAGAGGGCCAGTAGAACACTGTTGACGGGGTCAGAGGGCCAGTAGAACACTGTTGACGGGGTCAGAGGGCCAGTAGAACACTGTTGACGGGGTCAGAGGGCCAGTAGAACACTGTTGACGGGGTCAGAGGGCCAGTAGAACACTGTTGACGGGGTCAGAGGGCCAGTAGAACACTGTTGACGGGGTCAGAGGGCCAGCAGAACACTGTTGACGGGGTCAGAGGGCCAGCAGAACACTGTTGACGGGGTCAGAGGGCCAGTAGAACACTGTTGACGGGGTCAGAGGGCCAGTAGAACACTGTTGACGGGGTCAGAGGGCCAGTAGAACACTGTTGACGGGGTCAGAGGGCCAGTAGAACCCTGTTGACGGGGTCAGAGGGCCAGTAGAACCCTGTTGACGGGGTCAGAGGGCCAGTAGAACCCTGTTGACGGGGTCAGAGGGCCAGTAGAACCCTGTTGACGGGGTCAGAGGGCCAGTAGAACCCTGTTGACGGGGTCAGAGGGCCAGTAGAACCCTGTTGACGGGGTCAGAGGGCCAGTAGAACCCTGTTGACGGGGTCAGAGGGCCAGTAGAACACTGTTGACGGGGTCAGAGGGCCAGTAGAACACTGTTGACGGGGTCAGAGGGCCAGTAGAACACTGTGCAGGGTCTAATACTAATTCTAGTTTTAGTCAGTTCAGTCCTGACTCTAATTTTCAACTATCTGTTTTAAAGTGTTTTTTCTTGTAACCCATGACTCCCTGGAAAACAGTGGAAATTGTGGAATATCCTGGTTAAACAAATGAATTTAATAAATGCCTCGTGGCTTGGACTAAGATTTCTGTCTTTCTCCACAGTTTTGGAATACAGTTTCTCTACAGTATTGGACTAACATTTCTCTCTCTCTCTCTCTCTCTCTCTCTCTGTTTCTCTCTACAGTATTGGACTAACATTTCTCTCTCTCTCTCTCTCTCCCCGTTTCTCTCTACAGTATTGGACTAATGTATCTCTCTGTCTTTGTCTCTCTGCCAGTTTGAGATCCTGCTGTGTGTGCAGGACCATGACGACCCAGCCATTGATGTTTGTAAAAAGCTTCTTGGAAAATATCCCAACGTTGATGCTCGTTTATTTATAGGTAAGAGCCTGGTTGATGTGTTCTTTGAACAACTGTCAATTTCATATTCATGTCTCATGTCCTGCTATTCTAAGATCTGTCTAATAAATATGTTAAAATGTGTAGTTGTAAGTAGGGAAACATGTCAATGCTCAGTACTGTGTCCTGTCAGTACACAAGGGGACTGACTAAACAAGAATCCATAGTTGGGCTATTCCATGTGAGCGTGGACGGAAAATATTTTTGGTATCTAAGATTGTTCTGGCAATTCTCACATAGAAACTTAATCGGGAGGAAGGATGTTTGACATGCTTTTTACATTTGTATCACATACAAGTGAACATTTTAGTCCCTTTTTAGACCTGTACAGTACCTTGCAAAAGTATTCATCCCCCTCGGCGTTTTTCCTATTTTGTTGCATTACAACCTGTAATTTTAAATAGATTTTTATTTGGATTTCAAGTAATGGACATACACAAAATAGTCCAAATTGGTGAAGTGAAATGAAAAAAAATTACTTGTTTCAAAAAATTCTAAAAAATAACGGAAAAGTGGTGCGTGCATATGTATTCACCCCTTTTGCTATGAAGCCCCTAAATAAGATCTGATGCAACCAATTACCTTCAGAAGTCACATTAGTTAGATTGCACACAGGTGGACTTTATTTAAGTGTCACATGATCTGTCACATGATCTCAGTGTATATATACACCTGTTCTGAAAGGCCCCAGCAACACCACTAATCAAGGGGCACCACCAAGGAAGCGGCACCATGAAGACCAAGGAGATCTCCAAACAGGTCAGGGACAAAATTGTGGAGAAGTACAGATCAGGGTTGGGTTATAAAAAAATATCTGAAACTTTGAACATCCCACGGAGCACCATTAAATCCATTATAAAAAAACGGAAAGAATATGGCACTATAACAAACCTGCCAAGAGAGGGCCTCCCACCAAAACTCAAGGACCAGGCAAGGAGTTCATTAATCAGAGGCAACAAAGAGACCAAAGATAACCCTGAAGGAGCTGCAAAGCTCCACAGCGGAGATTGGAGTATCTGTCCATAGGACCACTTTAAGCTGTACACTCCACAGAGCTGGGCTTTACGGAAGAGTGGCCAGAAAAAAGCCATTGCTTAAAGATAAAAATAAGCAAACACGTTTGGTGTTCGCCAAAAGGCATGTGGGAGACTCCCCAAACATATGGAAGAAGGTACTCTGGTCAGATGAGACTAAAATTGAGCTTTTTGGCCATCAAGGAAAACGCTATGTCTGGCGCAAACCCTACACCTCTCATCACCCCGAGAACACCATCCCCACAGTGGAGCATGATGGTGGCAGCATCATGCTGTGGGGATGTTTTCCATCGGCAGGGACTGGGAAACTGGTCAGAATTGAAGGAATGATGGATGGCACTAAATACAGGGAAATTCTTGAGGGAAACCTGTTTTGAGACTGGGACGGAGGTTCACCTTCCAGCAGTACAATGACCCTAAGCATACTGCTAAAGTAACACTCGAGTGGTTTAAGGGGAAACATTTAAATGTCTTGGAATGGCCTAGTCAAAGCCCAGACCTCAATCCAATTGAGAATCTGTGGTATGACTTAAAAATTGCTGTACACCAGCGGAACCCATCCAACTTGAAGGAGCTGGAGCAGTTTTGCCTTGAAGAATGGGCAAAAATCCCAGTGGCTAGATGTGCCAAGCTTATAGAGACATACCCCAAGAGACTTGCAGCTGTAATTGCTGCAAAAAGTGTCTCTACAAAGTATTGACTTTGGGGGGTGAATAGTTATGCACGCTCAAGTTTTCAGTTTTTTTGTGTTATTTCTTGTTTGTTTTACAATAAAAAAATATTTTGCGTCTTCAAAGTGGTAGGGATGTTGTGTAAATCAAATGATACAAACCCCCCAAAAAATCTGTTTTAATTCCAGGTTGTAAGGCAACAAAATAGGAAACATGCCAAGGGGGGGGGGGGGGGGGGGTGTTATGAGTGTCTCGGGTATCAAGTAATTCATGATGCAAGAATATACTTAACACTTAGATGGAGAGTTCATACAAATATGTAATATTCGGTACCGGGTTCGTTAACAAAAGGAGCATGCTCTGCCTCTTGCCATCCGAACTCACAGACAAAGAAAACTTCTCAGTTTATATATGTCATGTTACACGTTTCTTCAACAACATCTGTTAACCCTCAGTGGGCACTCCCTTCTTTGATGGTATTACCATTTACCCAAGTCAGTAAATCATATATATATATATATATATATATATATCAATCATTCTAAGATAAACCACCAGTAAGCTCCCTCGACATACTGGGATCCAGACTTTGTGGCGCCCAGAATTACTGATCTACTAAATGTCCTTGTTCCCACCACTATGAAATGACATCATAACAGGGGGTGAATACTTTCACAAGCTGTAATACCCTATGATCCGTGAACCGGTACATGATACAGACCGCATACTTTTAGTCATGTAGTGTATGTGGACACCTGTTCATCGAACATCTCATTCCAAAACCATGGGCATTAATATGGAGTTGATCGCCCCTTTGCTGCTATAACAGCCTCCACTCTTCTGGGAAGGCTTTCCGCTAGATGTTGGAACATTGCTTCGGGGACTTGCTTCCATTCAGCCAAGAGCATTAGTGAGGTCGGGCACTGATGTTGGGCGATTAGGCCTGGCTCGCAGTCGGGGTTCCAATTCATCCCAAAGGTGTTCGATGGGGTTGAGGTCAGGGCTCTGTGCAGGCCAGTCAAGTTCTTCCACACCGATCTCGACAAACAATTTCATTATGGACCTCGCTTTGTGCACGGGGGCATTGTCATGCTGAAACAGGAAAGGGCCTTCCCCAAAGTTGGAAGCACAGAATCGTCTAGAATGTCATTGTATGCTGTGGTGTTAAGATTTCCCTTCTCTGGAACTAAGTATATATTATTTCATGGGACAATATACTAACGTTATTGATAATTTTTATTTATACAATTGTACAATGTATGTATTAGTTCTCGACACATTGGTGCGGCTGTCTTCCAGGTTAAGCGAGCAGGTGTTAAGAAGCGCGGCTTGGCGGGTCATGTTTCGGAGGACGCATGACTCGACCTTCGCCTCTCCCGATCCCGTTGGGTAGTTGTAGCGATGAGACAAGATCGAAATCGGGGAGAAAAAGGTGGTAAAAAATAAATTAATGTAATGAATTGAAGGTTATTTGTTGATGTGAAAATCTAAATGTACCGTTTTTTGATTTGTAGTATTATTATTATTATTATTATTATTGTTATTTATATTTATAAGGTTGTGTCATTAGATTTGGGGTGGGGTCCCAGAAATTCTGGCAGGAAAAAATGGGGTCCCCGCTGAAAAACGTTTGAATACCACCACTGGGTTAACAGGAAGCGGAACCATCTGAATACCACTGGGTTAACAGGAAGTGAAACCATCTGTAAGTGAGGGTTTAAGAGAATGTCTTGGTTTCATAACTGGTTCATGACCCAGTCTGGTGATCGTGACCTCCAGCGGTTACTGGTTAAGGCACCTCCAGCGGTTACTGGTTAGGGTACCTCCAGCGGTTACTGGTTAGGGTACCTCCAGCGGTTACTGGTTAGGGCACCTCCAGCGGTTACTGGTTAGGGCACCTCCAGCGGTTACTGGTTTGGTTAGGGCACCTCCAGCGGTTACTGGTTAGGGCACCTCCAGCGGTTACTGGTTAAGGCACCTCCAGCGGTTACTGGTTAGGGCACCTCCAGCGGTTACTGGTTAGGGCACCTCCAGCGGTTACTGGTTAGGGCACCTCCAGCGGTTACTGGTTAAGGCACCTCCAGCGGTTACTGGTTAGGGCACCTCCAGCGGTTACTGGGTAGGGCACCTCCAGCGGTTACTGGTTAAGGCACCTCCAGCGGTTACTGGTTAAGGCACCTCCAGCGGTTACTGGTTAAAGCACCTCAGGCCACTGAAGAAAACGGATGTCCTTCTTTTACAGGAGGAAAGAAGGTTGGCATCAACCCCAAGATTAATAACCTGATGCCAGGATATGAGGGGGCAAAGTATGACCTGGTGTGGATCTGCGACAGCGGAATACGAGGTAGGAAATTAACTTTGTGTGTGTGTCTCAAACGGCACCCTATTCCCTACATAGTGCACTACTTTAGACCAGAGAATGGCACCCTATTCCCTACATAGTGCACTACTTTTGAACAGGACCCAATGGAACCTTATTTCCTACATAGAGCACTACCCTGGTCAAAAGTAGTGCACTACATAGGGTGCCATTTGGAACATTTCCTTACTCTGATTTAATCATAACAGAATGAATCACCGCCAGTATTCCAAGTCAGTGAGCAGCCCTGTTTTCCTTTTTATCGCTGACTCACACCAAACTACTTCCCATTTGATAATGGTGATTCTGTGTGATTCTTGTTTTGAACCTTGAACAAATAAACTGAGCCTAGATAGTTTGATTGCTTTACATACAAACACAACATTATTTTATTCACCTATATTCAAATACTGTGGGTGGTAAAGTGGGAGATTTGTACAGGGTAAAAGGGATCTTGAAGAAGGAAGGCTATCACTCCATTTTGCAACGCCATGCCATACCCTGTGGACGGCGCTTGATTGGAGCCAATTTCCTCCTACAACAGGACAATGACCCAAAGCACAGCTCCAAACTATGCAATAACTATTTAGGGAAGAAGCAGTCAGCTGGTATTCTGTCTATAATGGAGTGGCAAGCACAGTCACCGGATCTGTCGTAGCCGGCCGCGACCGGGAGACCCATGGGGCGGCGCACAATTGGCCCAGCGTCGTCCAGGGTAGGGGAGGGAATGGCCGGCAGGGGATGTAGCTCAGTTGGTAGAGCATGGCGTTTGCAACGCCAGGGTTGTGGGTTCGATAAAATAATGTATGTGCTAACTGTAAGTCGCTCTGGATAAGAGCGTCTGCTAAATGACTAAAATGTAAATGTAAATGTAAATGAAATACTATGAAAATGATAAGTAAGATCCCATTGCCTGATCTGTAAAATCCCTTTTTAGGGACAACTGCTGATTTATATAACAAATAAATAATAATCATTTTGGTAGATTGATCGATCCTCTTCCTCCCCAGTGAAACCGGACACTCTGACAGATATGGCTAACCAGATGACAGAGAAGGTGGGGTTGGTCCATGGCCTTCCCTACGTGGCTGACAGACAGGGCTTCGCTGCTACACTGGAGCAGGTGAGCATCCATAGAGGCTCTCAATTCATCTTTCCTCCATCCCTTGCATCCTCTGTCCTTACCTCTAACTCAAAAGTCGGGACTTAGAAAATTGAGAAAGCGGTAGAGGCGGTAGAGGCGGTAGAGGCGGTAGAGGCGGTAGAGGCGGTAGAGGCGGTAGAGGCGGTAGAGGCGGTAGAGGCGGTAGCATTCTTACAGAGACAGACCACTATTGGAGTCTGATGCTGCACTAGGTCAATGTGACTTGACTTAATCCTTGGAGTTCTGAAGCCTTGTTCACACTGCAGGCCTTAATGCTCAAATCTGTTTTGGAATACTGACTGTCCAAACAGCAAGTTACAAGTGACCAAATCGGATTTGTGTGTGTTCAGACAGCAGTAATTTGCATTCACACCTCTTGACTTTTTCCACATTTTGTTGTGTTACAAAGTGGGATTAAAATGGATTTAACATTTATTATAAAATGAATGGAAAATAAAACACTATCTTGATTAGATACATTTTCAACGCCCTGAGTCAATACGTGTTAGAATCACCTTTGGCAGTGATTCCAGCTGTGAGTCTTTCTGGGTAAGTCTCCTAAGAGCTTTGCACACCTGGATTGTACAATATTTGCACATTATTCTTTTTTAAATTCTTCAAGCTCTGTCAAGTTGGTTGTTAATCATTGCTAGACAGCCATTTTCAAGTCTTGCCATAGATTTTCAAGCCGATTATTAAGTAAAAACTGTAACTAGGCCACTCAGGAACATTCAATGTCGTCTTGGTAAGCAACTTAGGTTATTGTCCTGCTAAAAGGTGAATTTGTCTCCCAGTGTCTGTTGGAAATTAGACTGAACCAGGTTTTCCTCTAGGATTCTGCCTGTGCTTAGCTCCATTCTGTTTATTTTTTATCCTGAAAAACTCCCTAGTCCTTGCCAATGACAAGCATACCCATAACATGATGCAGCCACCACCATGCTTGAAAATATGGAGAGTGGTACTCAGTGATGTGTTGTGTTGGATTTGTCCCAAACATAAGGCTTTGTATTCAGGACATAAAGTTAATTTCTTTGCCACATTTTTTGCAGTTTTACTTTAGTGCCTTGTTGCAAACAGGATGTATGTTTTGGAATATTTTGTATTCTGTACATTCCTTCTTTTCACTCTGTAATTTAGGTTAGTATTGTGGAGTAACTACAATGTTGTTGATCCATCCTCAGTTTTCTCCTATCACAGCCATTAAACTCTCTAACTGTTTTAAAGTCACCATTGGCCTCATGGTGACATCCCTGAGTGGTTTCCTTCCTCTCCAGCATGTAAATCTTGGTGGGGCAACCGTAGGATAAATAAAAGGGGCATATTAGCAGACAATGAAAGCTTTTACAATATTCGATGATTACATTTCTCTAAAACAGGTTATAGGCTGCATGTGCACCACCAAGTCAGAACAGTAGGCTAAGTTATGAGGGGGAACGGGACCAAATTATTAGGGTGAGGCACATGGGCTACTAACAGCTTACTACCCAACATACACTTATGTATACTGTAGCTAAGAAAGTAAAACTATCTCCCTGGCATATTACGTTACTTATTCAGCAGCATACAAGACGCTTTTGGACTCACCTTGTTGTGCTGTGCTCACTTGAACAGGAAGGTGGCATGGCGGTCCTTCATGGGCAAATGTTGTTATCAAAGTCTGGATTTATGGTGCTTTCAAGACAACTGGGAACTCTGGGGGGGGGAAACAAGGTTGAATCACGACGTCAGTGATCTTCAGGTCGGAGCTCTAGAAAGAGGCCGGAGTTCCCGACTTGGAATTCCGAGTTGGATGACCGTTCAAAACTTATTTTCCCAGTTGGAGCTCGTTTTCCCCCGAGTTCCCAGTTGTCTTGAACTCACTGAATTAAGATTTTCCAGTTCTGAGTTAACAGTTGTTTTGAGCGCGGCAGAAATCATGCTGGATTGACAGCGTGGCTGATGTTGAATGTTTATCATTTTAAGCTTGGAAAAGAGAACCTTAAACCGAGAATTGGGACCACACACCCACTCCACTGAATAGCAGGCTAGTGATTGCTTTGCAATGCTTGCAGTTAGCCACTGATCCCTTCCAAACCACTCATTGTTGAATTTGCGATTTCCAATTTGTTTAATGTTTATGTCCAATGGCCGATGAGCACTAATACGTTTTATCTATAATTTATCTTCATATGACAAGGATTAAAAAGGATTTGCCAGTAGATTGTCGACTTCATTCATGATGATGACTGCTAGCAAAGATTTGGAAAGTATGATGTTGACATGATCAGTCCAATCAAAGCTACTGTAGATATAACGTGATTTGACGTCATTTTATCTGTGGCCAATGACCTTGAGCCTTTTTGGATGGGCACTTCTAATGTAACTTTATGGCAGCACCCAAGGGGCTTGAATTCTCGAGCTCTACCCTTAGATTTGGCAGACGTAGTGTCCCCATGAGTGACAGAACACTGAGCCAATCACAGCGCAACTACAGAACATTACCAACCCCTACGCTCCGTATTTTCCGCTGGCTGTCCCACCACCACAGAAAGCACTGAGCTAGGCTGAAACACCTGCATTTTGGAGCTGCCTTACTCAAGAAAGAAAAAAAAGAGACCATGTTTTTTACATTGTTTGCAAACTGATATGTGACACGTATTAATGCCAAAATAACATGTAAAACAGGAAACCCCATCTACCCTTCTTTGCTAACCATTGGAAAACCTCCCTGGTCTCTGTTTGAAATTCACTGCTCGGCTGAGGGACCTTACAGATAATTGTATGTGTGGGGTACAGAGATGAGGTAGTCATTAAAAAATAATCTTAAACACTATTATTGCACACAGAGTGAGTCCATGCAACTTATTATGTGACTTGTTAAGCACATTTTTACTCCTGAACTTATTTAGGCTTGCCATAACAAAAGGTAGAATACTAATTGCCTTAAGACATTTCAGCTTTTAATTTAGGAAAAATCAAAACCTTATTTACATAAGTATTCAGACCCTTTGCTATGAGACTCAACATTTTGCTCAGATGCATCCTGTTTCCATTGATCATCCTTGAGATGTTTCTACAACTTGATTAGAGTCCACCTGTGGTAAATTCAATTGATTGGACATGATTTGGAAAGGCACACCTGTCTATATAAGGTCCCACAGTTGACAGTGCATGTCAGAACAAAAACCAAGCCATGAGGTCGAAGGAATTGTCCGTAGAGCTCCGAGACAGGATTTTGTCGAGGCACAGATCTGGGGAAGGGTACCAAAGAATGTCTGCAGCATTGAAGGTCCCCAGGAACACAGTGGCCTCCATCATTCTTAAATAGAATAAGTTTGGAACCACCAAGACTCTTCCTAGAGCTGGCCGCCCGGCCAAACTGAGCAATCGGGGGAGAAGGGCCTTGATCAGGGAGGTGACCAAGAACCCGATGAAAAAATAATGCGGCATATCTAATCACTCTGACGTCAATGAAAATGTGCTCAAAAATCTAATCAAACACTTAATGAGAGCCCATGAGCTCATGTTGCGTAACACTTTTATAGGCTATGCAACTGCGTGAGAAAACAGAGTTTGATGGCCTCTACTAAAAAGAGGAGGATCCCATCAGCTTTCTATAGGCTAGACATACTATTTATTTCTCAACTTTCCTAATATTAAGCACATTGTTTCTCTTTACAAGTATAGCCTATCTGGCTGGCATGAAAATGAACCACGTGAAAAGTGTGGTATTCTTTTCCCCCTGCCCATATTCCAAGACAGGTGCATGATAATGGTCCATTCTAAATCAAAACAAATTTCACATATATATATATATATTATTTAGTATATGTAAAGACAAGATCAAATCAAGAATAGTCTGATGGGTGACAATATTAGCCTATCACTTGTTAATTATTGCATTTTGGAACATTCACGCTTATAGCCTACTGCCGTATGCACATTGTTGCGCTTATAATGTGAAGAAATAGCCTAATAGTTTATCAACATTTTTAAGCTAAACGTTCTTATCTGTTGTGTCAGCCTCATTGCTTAAAACAGGGTTTTTTTACGTTAGGCCTACTGATCTTGTTGGCTGACGAAAAGTAAATGGGGACAGCTCTTCCAATATCTTCAATGTGCGCCTCGGAATTGGATAAGGACACGCACAGTTGCGTCCCCGACGTGTCCGTCTTCACTTGTAGCCTGTGACAAAGACCCGATCAGGTGACGGAGAGCAGTGTGAATGAGAGGTGTTTCGGCGTGCAGCCGGGAGAAAGGAATTATGATTATTATATTCAGCCCAAGGGCACAACGGCCACTGGCTGCAAAAGGCATGGATTTTATTTAGGGGGCATTACGGCCACACAAAAGGGACGCAGTCAGGAAATTTGAGGCATTATCAAGTGCTTATCAAACTGTAAATGAGAGACTGATGACGTATGTACAGCCTGCACAAAAAACCCAGCAGAGCTCATGCCTTTCATGCGACTTTTTCAAATCATCATTAGTCGCATCATGCAGTCTTAGAATGTATTAAAATTTAAAACATATAGCACAACATTTGTATCACAACTAAAGTTACATAAATAACTCTAAATTAAGCATATAGGAATACCTATTTAGATGTAGATTGTTCCAAAAGTCTGCATCAGTGGCTTGTAAGCTATGCATGGTCAATTACCGTGCGACCGGCAGTTATTTCAAATAAAATTTTATTGGGCACATACACATATTTAGCAGATGTTATTGCGGGTGTAGTGAAATGCTTGTGTTCCTAGCTCCAACAGTGCAGTAGTATCTAACAATTCACAACAATACTCACAAATCTAAAAGTAAACGAATAGAATTAAGAAATATATAAATATTAGGATGAGCCATGTCGGAGTGGCATTGACTAAAATACAGTAGAATAGAAAACTGTATATACAAAAGTATTTGATCCCCTGCTGATTTTGTACGTTTGCCCACTGACAAAGACGTGATCAGTCTATAATTTTAACGGTAGGTTTATTTGAACAGTGAGAGACAGAATAACAACAAAGAAATCCAGAAAAACGCATGTCAAAAATGTTATAAATTGATTTGCATTTTAATGAGGGAAAGTATTTGACCCCTCTGCAAAACATGACTTAGTACTTCGTGGCAAAACCCTTTTTGGCAATCACTTTTACATATTTACATTTACGTCATTTAGCAGACGCTCTTATCCAGAGCGACTTACAAATTGGTGCATTCACCTTATAGCCAGTGGGATAACCACTTTACAATATGTATTTTTTTTGAAAAATTGGGTGGGGTAAGGGGGGGTAGAAGGATTACTTAATCCTATCCCAGTTATTCCTTAGAGGTGGGGTTTCAAGTGTCTCCGGAAGGTGGTGAGTTACTCCGCTGTCCTGGCGTTGTGAGGGAGCTTGTTCCACCATTGGGGTGGAATCACAGAGGTCAGGACGTTTGGCAACTCGAACCTTCAGCTCCCTCCACAGATTTTCTATGGGATTAAGGTCTGGAGACTGGCTAGGCCACTCCAGGACCTTAATGTGCTTCTTCTTGAGCCACTCCTTTGTTGCCTTGGCCGTGTGTTTTGGGTGATTGTCATGCTGGAAACCCATCCACAACCAATTTTCAATGCCCTGGCTAAGGGAAGGAGGTTCTCACCCAAGATTTGACGGTACATGGCCCCGTCCATCGTCCCTTTCATGCGGTGAAGTTGTCCTGTCCCCTTAGCATAAAAACACCCCAAAGCATAATGTTTCCACCTCCATGATTGACGGTGGGGATGGTGTTCTTGGGGTCATAGGCAGCATTCCTCCTCCTCCAAACACGGCGAGTTGAGTTGATGCCAAAGAGCTCGATTTTGGTCTCATCTGACCACAACACTTTCAACCAGTTCTCCACTGACTCATTCAGATGTTCACTGGCAAACTTCAGACGGCACTGTATATGTGCTTTCTTGAGCAGGGGGACCTTGCGGGCGCTGCAGGATTTCAGTCCTTCACGGCGTAGTGTGTTACCAATTGTTTTCTTGGTGACTATGGTCCCAGCTGCCTTGAGATCATTGACAATATCCTCACCATTCTCATGATCATTGCAACTCCACGAGGTGAGATCTTGCATGGAGCCCCAGGCCGAGGGAGATTGACAGTTCTTTTGTGTTTTTTCCATTTGCGAATAATCGCACCAACTGTTGTCACCTTCTCACCAAGCTGCTTGGCGATGGTCTTGTAGCCCATTCCAGCTTTGTGTAGGTCTACAATCTTGTCCCTGACATCCTTGGAGAGCTCTTTGGTCTTGGCCATGGTGGAGAGTTTGGAATCTGATTGATTGATTGCTTCTGTGGACAGGTGTCTTTTATACAGGTAACAAGCTGAGATTAGGAGCACTCCCTTTAAGAGTGTGCTCCTAATCTCAGCTCGTTACCTGTATAAAAGACACCTGGGAGCCAGAAATCTTTCTGATTGAGAGGGGGTCAAATACTTATTTCCCTCATTAAAATGAAAATCAATTTATAACATTTTTGACATGCGTTTTTCTGGATTTTTGTTGTTGTTATTCTGTCTCTCACTGTTCAAATAAACCTACCATTAAAATTATAGACTGATCATGTCTTTGTCAGTGGGCAAACTTACAAAATCAGCAGGGGATCAAATACTTTTTACTCTCACTGTATGCTGTTTTAGATAGGGAGAGGAGTATTAATAACCCCTTAAATGTAATGGCAAAATCTAGATTTCCGCCTAAATAGACATACCCAAAAGTAACTGCTATTCATGTGGAATTACATGATTCTGACTTGCAAAAACTTGGTATATTTGGAAAAAAGACATCTGGGAGATGAAGAGGAAATGATCAGAAGATCGATGGGAGTTACATAGATCAGAATACACAAGATCAAGCACACACAAAATCACTTTTTTTTTTGCTTTTTTTTAAAAAGTCATCTTTCATTGACAAGCTATACGTGAATTATTGATGACTAGAGCTGGAAACAGATAATATGGCTTCCACAACATGTGAACAATGCTAAATGACTAAAGATATACAAAATAAAAAATTAATATCTGAAAAAAATATGGGATTGAAAGACCTAACTAGAAGTGGGCAGATGTTTTAGTAAAAGTGGCGTCAGGTGTGGTCATGGGACGTTTCCAAATGTCTCTAAACCTCTCCAAAGTGGCATGTGTCTATAAATTAGGTAATTCCAGTGCTATTACATATTTGCAATCCCTAAATGCTGTTTGTTCAGTATAAAAACAAGATTTATACCATATCAACCTCACTCAAACATTGTGGTGGTGTTATGGGGTATCCAGGGTACATTCAAGTGTCCTTTCAACCTCTCCAAAGTGTCCAAAGGTGGTAATTGCACTGTTTTTGCCCACTGGATGGATGTGCCTAAAAGTTATTGTTCACTATAAAAACTACATTTCTACAACACCAACCTCTCTCAAACATTGTGGTGGTGTCGGGGGACGTACAGGGGATGTCCAAGTGTTTTTTCATCCTCTCCCAAGTGCCTGAACGTTTAGCCTAGGCGTATCCAATGTATTGGTCCCACATACAAATGAACTGTTTACAAAAACAATATAAATGTACCAGTCAAAAGTTTGGACACACCTACTCATTCAAGGGTTTTTCTTTATTTTTACTATTTTCTACATTGTAGAATAATATTGAAGACATCAAAACTATGAAATAACACATATGGAATCACGTAGTAACCAAAAAAGTGTTAAACAAATCAAAATATATTTTAGATTCTTCAAATAGCCACCCTTTGCCTTGATGACAGCTTTGCACACTCTTGGCATTCTCTCAACCAGCTTCACCTGGAATGCTTTTCCAACAGTCTTGAAGGAGTTCCCACATATGCTGAGCACTTGTTGGCTGCGTTTCTCACAAAGACACAGCGGTTTGAACCAAAAATCTCCAATTTGGACTCATCAGACCAAAGGACACATTTCCACCGGTCTAATGTCCATCACTCGTGTTTCTTGGCCCAAGTGTTTTGTTTCCTCTGACTGTTTCTGACAGACTCCTATGCCTTTTTTAGAATTGTGCAAACCTCGCTCGTTTTATAACGACGTTCGTTTTCCAACAATAGATTGTTATTCGTCATCCTGTTTGTCTGACAGATGAAGAACCTTTTAAACGTAAATAGTATTTGTTTTGAAATTTGTTTTTGTGGTGCGTTAAACCAATAAACAATAAAGTCCAAAAAACTGAAGGGTGGTTCCTAAACACACACAAAATGGACAGAAGTCCAGAAATTAATGTTAATGTTTTTTTTTCTCCATTCTTGCCTTTTTTGTCTCGTGTACTTTGGCAAGGTCTAGGCGTCAAAGGTCTAGGCGTCAAAGGTCTAGGCGTCGAAGGTCTAGGCGTCGAAGGTCTAGGCGTCGAGCTAAAGACCGTTACCTGTCCTGCTAATCTTCCTCCATTTTCCCAACAGGTGTACTTTGGCACGTCCCACCCGCGCTCCTACATCTCAGCCAACGTGACGGGTATTAAGTGTGTGACAGGAATGTCGTGTCTGATGAGGAAAGATGTCCTGGACCAGGCTGGAGGGCTCATAACCTTCGCTCAATACATCGCTGAGGACTACTTCATGGCTAAGGCCATCGCTGACAGGTACCCCACACAGTCATATCAAATACATGTTGCTGCTTACCTTAACCACCCTTTGCTCAATGCATCCTAGAGCCTTGGTGGCAGGTAGCTTAGTGGTTAAGAGCGATGTGCCAGTAACCGAAAGGTCGCTGGTTCTAATCCCCGAGCCGACTAGGTGAAAAATCTGTCGCTGTGCCCTTGAGCAAGGCACTTAACCCTAATTGCTCCTGTAAGTGGCTCTGGATAAGAGCGTCTGCTAAAATGACTAAAATGTAAATGCATTTACAGCCTAGTTTATGTTGTCACTTTTAATTTTTTATTTTATATATATTCTGAATGTTGGTATTGAATTGAATTATAGGCAGATTTTAGGACCTAGATTAAGATTCTCCATTGGCCATGCTTTTTAGTCCAGGACTAGGTCTAATATTTTCATTGGAAACCAGCCCTATTTGTTTTGCATGTAATTTATAGTGGTTACATCCAGTGGTTAGAACCAAAAATGATTTTCCAATCGTTTCGTTCTGAACTAGAACCACCATTTTTTTTTTCGTTCCGTTCCACTTTTCCGACCAGCAAAATAAAGTTCTGAACCGGTTCCAACCCGCCAAAAAGTACAGGTTAATATAGTTTATTTATGTTGGTTTTTTTTGCAGAGCAGCAGCAGAATTAAATAAAAACATGTCTTACCTTTTTGTAGTTAATAAATCCAATGTGACATGTGATAACTATGGTATCCTTAACTATCATTGAAAAGGTTAATCCATTCTCTAATAAAAAAATCTCTCTCCCTCATTTCTTAATCACGCTTGTAATGTCAGTAGGCTACTAGAGTATGCTTTCCAGGGGTGAGGAGGGTTTTGGCAGATCATTTTTATTTATTTAAAAAGCAGATAAATAAAATTGTATCCAGCCAAATTGTCAAGGAGAGGCTGTCTATCTATCATAGCTTACACCCGGAATTCACGCTTCAGCACAGAATTCACGCTTCAGCACAGAATTCACGCTTCAGCACAGAATTCACGCTTCAGCACAGAATTCACGCTTCAGCACAGAATTCACGCTTCAGCACCATTCTCTCCGCACGTGCGCCTGCTGCTGGGGAGAGAGAGCAGTCTTTGCCTAGGCTACTGTTGATTTGCGAAGATTGGTGACCTTTTTCATTGAAGTTAGGGCTGACCCCATTTAGTCGACTAATCGATTGTTTGGTCGATAGGCTGTTGGTTGACCGAGATTTCTTTTAGTCGAGCAGTAGCAAAAATAAATAAATAAAATGGTTTAGAAGAACCCTGTCTGATTTGGCTCCTGATCCATGGGGATGGGCCCAAAATGGCTCCTGATCCATGGGGATGGGCCCAAAATGGCTCCTGATCCATGGGGATGGGCCCAAAATGGCTCCTGATCCATGGGGATGGGCCCAAATGGCTCCTGATCCATGGGGATGGGCCCAAAATGGCTCCTGATCCATGGGGATGGGCCCAAAATGGCTCCTGATCCATGGGGATGGGCCCAAAATGGCTCCTGATCCATGGGGATGGCCCAAAATGGCTCCTGATCCATGGGGATGGGCCCAAAATGGCTCCTGATCCATGGGGATGGGCCCAAAATGGCTCCTATCCTGGGATGGCCATGGGATGGGTGCCCAAATGGCTCCTGATCCATGGGATGGCCCAAAATGGCTCCTGATCCATGGGGATGGGCCCAAAATGGCTCCTGATCCATGGGGATGGGCCCAAAATGGCTCCTGATCCGTGGGGATGGGCCCAAAATGGCTCCTGATCCATGGGGATGGGCCCAGTCCATCAGTCTGAGAATTGTGCTACTGAAATTGTATATGGTTATATTACATAAGAACAATGGTGCAACACTAATAATATTTTGTAACAAACGCGCTTTCTCCCGCGTTGGATAGCGGTCGCTGTCCGCGGTTCTGAAACTAAGAAGAGTGAGGAGAGAGGAAACCCCAACTTAATTAGGTCTATAATCAATAGCCGAACTGTTAAACGTGCCCGGCTTTAGAAATCATCCATATCTACAGAAATAAAACAGATCCTGCTTCTGTTGCCTGTTTGATTGTTTGTTTAATAGCCTACTGATCACCGAGCCTCAAGCAACCACAACATGTCGGATAAACACTTTCACAAATTCGGCAGTTTTTAATCTTTTAACAATTATTGTTTTAGGGATTTGTTTCTTTTTTTAAAGGCAATAAAGTTGTCTGTAAAGTTTCTGCGTATGTTACACGTCGAAACACAAGTAATGGTGTTTTTGTAATTTGTTATAGGCTGTTTAAGGACACGTAAATGTGGCTCATTTGGCTAATATCCCTTGTTTATTGATGGTGCTGGCAGCGCGAGGTCGGATCTGAATGCATATTGATGTCCAGTAAATTTAAAATCTTCCAGGTCACGTTGTCCGGCGCCACATTTTCAGAAATCCTGGCAAACACACTTGTAAAGATGTTCTGGCAGGGAGGCAGACACTGGAATACGTTTCTGAGTGACAGAGTGAGGTCTTTTTGTGGAACCGGGGAAAAAAATGCCCGGAAGGTGAAAGAACGTTATTAACTGCTTTTAAAAGAATGGTTCTGTTCCGGAACAGTATAGATCACTTTCATTCACGGTTCTGATTCTGTTCCTAAAAAAAAAAAATATATATATATATTAGGGCTGTCAAATGATTAAAATGTTTAATCAAATTAATCAGAATTTTCAGTGGATTAATCATGATTAATCACTATTTGCAATTACACCTGAATCCTAACCATTTTTTTTTCTGAAATGCATACCAAAAGATAAATAACAGGACACAGATACATAATTTTCATATTATGTCTGTTTATTAACACAGCCAAATAATGGTGTTTTAAATCAAGCTGAAACATACTACACACCATAATATTTGTCTTTGTAATGTTCCATCACTTCCTCTTTGGCATTCCTCTTAACCAGGATGTACAATTTACAGTATTCAATTGAACAGAAAGCAATAAATGTAGTCAAATCATAACAGTGACCTACCACATTTTTGCACAATTTGAGTCATCTGTGGAAAAAAACATTTTCAATAAAACTTTTAAATCAAACCAAAGAACAATCTTTTACCTTTTCCTCCATTCTTTAATCCAGTTGCTCAAAAATCCAGTTGCTAACTACTATAACATGTTGCACTGAAACTGGTCTTTTTGTTTGAACATCACCTTTCAAATCTACTGAGCTTCATCATCTTTCAGCCAGTTGCTGAGGCAAACTAACTTGTTCACATTTTCTGAAAGTAAAGCTGACCTTTTCTTGTTCACAATGTGACCTGCAACTGAGAAAAGTCGTTCACAGGGAACAGTGGTTGCAGGAGTGGCTAGATATCAAATTATCTGAGGTTGATTTTGTTAATTGCCTGCAAACATTCAGCGTGGTCTGGCGCAAACCACTTGCTGAATCTGACGGCCCAGCAAACGCATGTTTGGCGTTGACATGGTACTTCAAGCTTGAACAGCTCCGGTGAAATTGAAACTCCTTCTTACAAATCTTGCAAATAACCTTGTACTTGTTAACTGTACCATCATCATTCTTTTTATATTTGAATCCGTCAATAGGCCCACTTTGCTCACCTTGCTCCATCTCGCCTCTAGCTCCCAACCACTTTCCTGACCTGAATAATTTGTCACACTGCGCATGCGTGAAATGCGTTAAAAAAATTGACGTAATTAACAGCAAACAACTAATTAACGTCGTTAACGCGCTATTTTTGACAGCCCTAATATATATATATTTCTGCTTTCCAATTCTTTACCCTGAACCCGGGTCCAACCCCTGTTTACATCTTTGCCTTATAGTCCCTTGCTACTTTGACCTGTTTTATTGTTGATGTTTATTGTGCCACAAAACATCAATGATTGATATGGTCGTGTTATGGTTTATTGACGCCATTGGCCAGGTCTTAACTCCAGGTCTTAAAGGGGAAGTTCGGTATTTTACAACTTGATGTTCGATAGTTCCTCAACCTGAAAGTAGTCTATGGGCCAGGAGGATCTGTAATATGTGGGTTGTTTTTTCTTTAAGCTGCCACTACAAAGGTTCCGCTAACTTTAGCCACCGCTCGCTAACAATCAACGGGAGTGATTGAGGCTGAACTTCCCTTTTAATGTTTCCTTTGTCCCTCCTCCTTATCTTGCAGAGGATGGAAATTCTCCATGGCAACGCAGGTAGCCATGCAGAACTCCGGGTCCTATTCAATTGCTCAGTTCCAGTCCCGCATGATCAGGTAAACAAACTATCAGGGCTTAAACTTTTCACACTCACCCATTGTTATAGAGCAGATTCCTGGAGGGTCACAGACGACACATTAAAGGTCACAGACGACACATTAAAGGTCACAGACGACACATTAAAGGTCACAGACGACACATTAAAGGTCACAGACGACACATTAAAGGTCACAGACGACACATTAAAGGTCACAGACGACACATTAAGGTCACAGACGACACATTAAGGTCACAGACGACACATTAAGGTCACAGACACACAACTCTCCTCTACTTTACTGCTATGTGGACACTCAAAATGGCCACCATTCACACAACTCTCCAGGAATTGAGTTTGACACCATTGTCCTAGATGATTTACATGGGCCATTATTTCTAAAGGTTAATTTAGCCGTTTCAGTCTCCCGACAGTCCACCGACTAGCCTGCCACATTGGGATTCAGATTGCTTCAGATCTACCAAACCCACTCTGATCAATGTAACGAATAAAAACAGTTTGATCAAATAGATATTTAACTTGTGTAAAGTGGGATGTTAAGACATTATACTGTGTCTATAGATAGTCTAAGGAGTGTCGCATCCATAGAAACATAATATTATTACTTCCTGTTTTACAGCTATGTGGACATTCAAAATGGCCACCATTCCACCCATTTATAACACCATTTACCTGAATGTGGGACGTCTGTTCATTCTAATTCTGTGGTCTCATCCTCCCTCTCAGGTGGGCCAAGCTTCGAATCAACATGCTCCCCGCCACCATCTGTGAGCCCATCTCTGAGTGTTTCGTAGCCAGCCTGATCATTGGCTGGGCAGCGCATCACGTGTTCCGCTGGGATATAATGGTCTTCTTCATGTGCCACTGTCTGGCCTGGTTCATCTCTGACTACATCCAGCTCCGAGGGGTCCAGGTACAGGCACGCACTCACACACTGTCTGGCTTATTGCAGACCCCTGGTGTATGTAGTCACCTTGCAATTCTGTTGCAAAACGTTTAGTCTAAACAGTTTACTCCAAACTGAAATTTGGGGGGGGGGGGTTATTGTGTGTAGATTGATGAGGAGAAAAACAATTTAATCCATTTTAGAATAAGGCTGTAATGTAACAATGTGGAAAAGTCAAGGGGTCTGAATAGTTTCCGACTGCGCTGTACAGCAAATTGATCTGCATGTCATTGTGTCAGTAAGGGGAAAACACTGCATGAAACCTTCTTTACTTGCTTATCCAATTCACCTCCCTCACACCTCTCTCTGTCTTCCACACACTCCCTCACACACACCCTCCCTCACACACTCTCCCTCACACTCTCTCTGTCTTCCACACTCTCCCTCACACTCTCTCTGTCTTCCACACTCTCCCTCACACACACTCTCCCTCACACACACACTCTCCCTCACACTCTCTCTGTCTTCCACACCCCCCCGTCCTCACAGCACCACTCTCACCTCCCGCTATGCACCTCTCCTCCTCCACACCTCTCCTCACACTCTCTCTGTCTTCCACTTCCCCTCACACTCTCTCCGTCTTCCACACTGTCCCTCACACACCTCCCTCACAACACACAATTCCCTCCACATCTCCTGTTCCACACCTCCCTCCCTCACACAGCCTCCCTCCCTACACCCATCTCTGCTCCTCATCACACCTCTGTCTTCCACACCCTCCCTCCTACACTTCTCCTCTTCCACACCTCCCTCCACACACTCTCTCTGTCTTCCACCTCCCCTCACCACTCCCCCTCACACACCTCCTCCTCTGTCTTCCACACCCTCCCTCCCTCACACTCTCTCTGTCTTCCACACCCTCCCTCTTCACACACTCGCTCTGTCTCCCTCACTCTCATAAACACATACCCACTGTTCCCAACTTTAAAAACATTAGGCACCAAACAGAATGTAAGGAGCACCAGAAAGAGAGAGATGTTTAATATAATTTAGTCTTCCATGAGGTCTGTATGAATCCTACCATCTCATGAGTAGCAGAACCTTTTCCTTTCTTCCTGGGCCAATCAGATTTCACCTACTGTCAAGTTAGCATGTTCTCTGGTGTTAATAATATGTCTGGTGTTAATAATATGTCTGATATTTATGTCTGGGAAGTAAAACTGATAACCACTGCTTGTTACTCTGAGAGACAGAAAAGTTCAGAATAAATCAGCTAGAAGAAACAAACACAACGTGTTTTTCCCTTCTGTCCCTTCTCCCCCTACAGGGCGGTGCTCCGTCCTTCTCCAAACTGGACTACGCTGTAGCCTGGTTCATCAGAGAGTCCATGACCATCCAGATCTTCCTGTCGGCGCTGTGGGACCCCACCATCAGCTGGAGAACGGGGCGCTACAGGTTACGATGTGGAGGGACGGCCGAGGAGATCCTGGACGTATAGCTGCCTGCCTGAGTCCTATCACCTCCAGGGACCAGAGACAATACCAGACACAGACTGATGAGCATCCCAAATGGCACCCTATTCCCTAGATAGTCAACTACTTTTGACCAGGGCCCACACTTGCCCATACTTTTTGCTCTGGTTAAAGGTAGTGAACTATAGAGGGAATAGGGTACCATTTGGGATGCGACCAGAGAGAGATGGCAACATTGAGTGGATGGAAGGAAACAACCCGCTATGGGCGTGATGGATGGAAGGAAACAACCCGCTATGGGTGTGATGGATGGAAGGAAACAACCCGCTATGGGCGTGATGGAAGGAAGGAAACAACCCGCTATGGGCGTGATGGATAGAAGGAAACAACCCGCTATGGGCGTCATGGATAGAAGGAAACAACCCGCTATGGGCGTGATGGATGGAATGAAACAACCCGCTATGGGCGTGATGGATGGAAGGAAGGAAACAACCCGCTATGGGCGTGATGGAAGGAAGGAAACAACCCGCTATGGGCGTGATGGAAGGAAGGAAACAACCCGCTATGGGCGTGATGGAAGGAAGGAAACAACCCGCTATGGGCGTGATGGATGGAAAACTTCATATGGAATTCATATTTTCTTTTTAAGATAAAGAATTGTCCAGTGTTTGATCGTTTTTTTAACCAGTTTGTTGAGATATTAGATGATTTATTATTAGGGGGCTCGTTTTCCTCTTGACCATCCACATGGTGAGAGACGGCCTACCTCCCAAATGGCACCCTATTCCTCAATTAATAGTGTTTTAATGTGAGAACTAAAGCTCCAAACCTACGGATTCTCTTTGGTCCATTTTGGGTTTACTGGTCAGGTTTTCAAAGCGCCATGGTCTTCTGCTGTGAGATTGCTGGCTATTTTTAACAGACTGAATGCGTCGCAAATTGGCACCCTATTCCCTATATATAGTGTACTGCTTTTGACCAAAGCCCATAGGGGTGTCATTTGAGATGCAGAGGGTATTCAACTCTTTACCCTACGAGGTCCGGAGCCCGGCTGGTTTTCTGTTCTACCTGATAATGAGTTGCACCCACCTGGTGTCTCAGGTCTAAATGTGGAACGTGATTGTCCAAACTGTCCGTGTGTTTCAATTTTCTGCCCCCCCCCCCCCCCCCCCCCCCCCTTTTCATTTCATTAGTGTCACATTGTGTAGTGTGGGAGGTCTTTAGGTCTGACCCAAATGGTTCCGTATCCGGCAGGTAGCTTAGTGGTTAAGAGCGTCGTGCCAGTAACCGAAAGGTCGCTGGTTCTAATCCCCGAGCCGACTAGGTGAAAAATCTGTCGATGTGCCCTTAAGCAAGGCACTTAACCCTAATTGCTCCTGTAAATCGCTCTGGATAAGAGCGTCTGCTAAAATGACTTAAATGTAAATATCTCCCCCGTATAGAGGACTACCTTTCAGACTCTGGGGCTGGGGAGACTGATATGTTCCCATGGCAACCTTAATCTTGAAGTAGTTACAATTATTTAATTGCATGGGTAACCTCATCATATTCATTGGATTATTTTCTAATCTATTTGTATTAGATTAGTCGTTTTAAAGCACAATCACGCTATTGGAGTGATGAAACGTGTTGATGCCAAATGCTGGCAGATTGATTCTCCTACTGATCATGTTTAAAACGCTGGACTCCATGCTGACTACCAGAGAACAGTAGGTTTCAACTGTTATGGGAGATGGGTAGATACTTCCCAATCGTCACAGGACATGTTGCTTCCAACTTGTAAACTGACTTTCTCCCAAACTATACTTCTGAATTTGAACAAAGAAATTAAGGCATTACAAATGTGAATCTCCATCTGATTCTAGTATTATAATTTCTACCAGAGCAGTTAGAAATAGAAAACCCTTATTCCCCCTCTGTCTCCCACCTCCTCTCTCCCTCTCCCACCCCCTCTCTCCCACCCCCCTCTCGTCCTCTCCCCCCCCCCCTTTCCCCCCCCCCCTTCTCCCTCTCCCACCCCACCCCCTCTCTCCCCTCTTCCCACCCCCTCTCTTCCCTCCTCCCACACCCCCTTCTCCCTCTTCCACTCTCCCTCCTGCCCACCGCATCTCTCCCCCCTCTCCCCCCCTCTCTCCCTCCTCCCCCCCCCCCTCTCTCCATCCTCCCCCCCCTCTTCTCCCTCTCCCCCCCAGCCCCTCTCTTCCCTCTCCACCGCCCCTACCCTGCTCTCCCTTCTCTCCACTCTGCGCCCGACCCCCTCTCCGCCTTCGCCCCCCCTCTCTTCCCTCTCCCCACCCCCCTCCCCTCTCCCCCCCTCCCGCCTCCCTCTCCCCCCCCTCTCTCCCTCCCCCTCTCCCCCACCCCCCCCTCTCTCCCTCGTCTCCCTCTCCCCCCTCCTCCCTTCCACCCCCCCTCTCTCCCCTCTCCACCCCTCCTCCCTCTCCCCCCCCTCCCTCCTCTCCCCCCCTCTCTCCCTCTCGGCCCCCCCTCTCATCCTCTCCCTCCCCCCCGTCCTCTCTTCCCTCTCCCACCCCCCTCTCACCTCTCTCACCGCTCCCACCCCTCGTCCTCCCCTCCCCCTCTCCCCCCCCTCTCTCTCCCTCTCCCCCCCCCCCCCTCACCCCCACACCCTCTCCCCCCCCCCTCCTCCCATGTCCCCCTCTCTCCTCAGTCTCCCACCCGCCTCTCCCCACCCCTCTGTCTCCCCCCCTCTCCCTCGTCTCTCCTAGCCGGGTCCATATCTGTTTTGACTGTCTTGCAATGAGCATGTAGCTACTGGGTTTCCTGCTCAGCTGAAGAGATGAAGGATAGATTGGTGATGGGGTTCTGTTTACTTCTGTCAGTCACGGTAGGAAAATGAGGAAAACTTATTTTCAAATCTGCTGTTGATGCACACAAATAAATATTGATATGGCTGATATTGGTTACGTCCCAAATGGCACCCTATTCCCTATATAGTGCACTACTTTAGACCAGAGAATGGCACCCTATTCCCTATATAGTGCACTACTTTTGACCAGAGCCTTATGGGGCGTTGAAAGTAGTGCACGATGTAGGGAATAGGGTGCCATTTGGGATGCAGTAATAGGTTTTTAGTGACAAAGAGAGGAAGCAAAAGTAACAGCAATAAATGAATACAGCTTCCTGAACGAGACTTTGCTGTATTCCACTAAAACAGGATAGATATGATAAATATACGATATCCTGTATTGAAACATTTCAGATTTGTTATCGGAAGACGAGACTGAATAAAAAAAAAAGAACATTTCACCTTTCAGAGCAATGTGGTGGTGTTAGAAACAATTACTGACTGTAATAATGCATGTAAATATAAGTAGACTATTTGCGTTAAGGTTGGCAGTTAGAGCTGATCATATACCACCGTAGATGACATAGTAGCCAGGGTTGGGTCAATTCCATTTAAATTCTAGTCAATTCAGAAAGTTAACCCAATTACAATTCCAAGTTGAGCTCATTTAAAAAGCGTTTGAATGGATTGGAATTGAGATTTCAGTGTACTTCCTGAATTGAAATGGAATTGGCCCCAACCCTGACAGTAGCACACTGTGGAGAGTCGAACTTTGATTTAGGGGGGACAGTTTTATAATCTGGCAGCCATCTTGCTGCTGCTTGGATGTGACGATCAGAGCTGTAGTCAGATTGCTGGTGTCTCCTCTTTTCAACTGTTCTCATCATAAAGCATCTTCTGTTCACCTCACTGATGGACGAGTCTCCAACGCCCTGTTTTAGACTGCTTCATGATGTACTGGATCTGTGAATGAGCGTGTGAATGATGTACTGGATCTGTGAATGAGCGTGTGAATGATGTACTGGATCTGTGAATGAGCGTGTGAATGATGTACTGGATCTGTGAATGAGCGTGTGAATGTGAGCGTGAGAGAGACTGCCTTGCCGTTCTAGAGGACCAAAAGTATCAGTGTCTCTGGCTGTGTCCAAAAATGGCACCCTATTCCCTAATATAGTGCACTATTTTTGACCAAGGGGCAGCCTATAGCGTCATGTCCAGGGGTTGTACTTCAGAAACAGGAGATGGAGTCATTCTGGCTTGGACATGGCTGCTCTGGTCAAAAGTAGTGCAATATATGTAAATATATAGGGAATATGGTTCCATTCTATCTGTAACATAAAAGGCCTCACTCAGTCTGACAGAAGAACAGGATCTACTGGGGATCCATTCTGTCTTGTCTATTTAAATTGTATAGATGCTAGATTCTTTTTAAACATGTTATGTATATTTATAACGTTGTTTGTAGATACCATTACAAGCTTCTCGCTCTTCTCTCTCTCTCTCTCTGTCTGTATATTTATGAAGTTTGATTGATACCATTACAAGCACTGCTTTATGACGCCTAATTTATTTAAAGTTTGATGATGATTTAGTAGGTATTTAATCTATAAGCAGTGGGAAAACAAAGGCTGGACAAACTTCTGTTTAAAAAAAACAAAAACGATTTGTTTTGATATGATTTGTATTGTATTATGAAGCGGAATGATCACAGCTGGAAACTGTGCCATAGCAGGAGAAATTAAAGCTTTATCAAACCATACCAAGGTGTACAGTCTTCATTGAATACTAATTGTGTTAATACAAGTATTATATACATGTAACTGCCAACATAAAGGAAACACTTGAGTAAATGAGGGGTACAAAGTAATTGAAAGCAGGTGCTTCCACACAGGTGTGGTTAACTTGAGTTCTAAGCCCTATGAGCACCTCTCTAACATGGCTGGCCAGCGTGCACGCCACGTGTGGTTCTGTGTTCCGAGATTATATGAGCGCCTACAGATAACTGCCAAAATAAAGGAAACACCAACATAGTGTCTTTTAATAGGGGTTGGGCGACCGCGAGCCGCCAGTATGCCATGGCATATCCTGAAACATCAGCAAGTTCAGCAGTCTTCGTCACTGAAGCTCCTGCAGAAACATGGCCCCAACAATCACCCACTCCCCATTGGGACAGACCTGCTCCGCAGACTGGGACAGACCTGCTCCGCAGACTGGGACAGACCTGCTCCGCAGACTGGGACAGACCTGCTCCGCAGACTGGGACAGACCTGCTCCGCAGACTGGGACAGACCTGCTCCGCAGACTGGGACAGACCTGCTCCGCAGACTGGGACAGACCTGCTCCGCAGACTGGGACAGACCTGCTCCGCAGACTGGGACAGACCTGCTCCGCAGACTGGGACAGACCTGCTCCACAGACTGGGAATGAGACATCTCATAGGAGCCAACCGTCTCTCCGTCATGTCTGACTGCGCTGTCACTTGCTACTGCTGCCAAACAAGGTCATTTGTGCTGCTATCTGGGAAACACTCCTCTATTGGAACACAGCCGTTCTCTGTGCTATCTGGAACACGCCGTTCTGCTGCTCTGCTATGCGGAACACAGCCTTCTGCTGCTACTATCTGGAACACAGCCGTTCTGCTGCTGCTACTATCTGGAACACAGCCGTTCTGCTGCTGCTACTATCTGGAACACAGCCGTTCTGCTGCTGCTATCTGGAACACAGCCGTTCTGCTGCTGCTATCTGGAACACAGCCGTTCTGCTGCTACTATCTGGAACACAGCCGTTCTGCTGCTGCTACTATCTGGAACACAGCCGTTCTGCTGCTGCTATCTGGAACACAGCCGTTCTGTCTTGAAAAAAACAGATTGTATTTCAATGAGACTAAACCAAAAGGTTTTAAAAAAAAAAATTAAAAAAAACGTTTCTAATGCTTGTGAAGAGTGCTCTATCTGCACACCTACTGCCACCATACCAATTAATACATGGAGAGATTACTTTACTAGTGATCTCCAGTTCACTAAGGTCCCAATTCAGACGTAGGAAATATACACCTTTCCTACGTCCTTCTCAGTAGTTGGTATTCAGACTGACCTTATGCTGGAGTGTAAGGGGCGTTGCAGGCGTGGTTCCCTTGGGCGCGCTGAATACACGTGATTTAATTAAACCGCTGAAAACCCTCCCACTTGCTCGCCAACAGATGTGTGTTTTGGATCATTGTCTTGTTGCATGACCCAGCTGCGCGGACGACATGGTTCCAGTAATGCCTGGCGAAAACCAAACTCTGCATTCCACAGTAAGAACATCATACCAAAGGTCAAGCATGGTGGTGGTGGTGGTGGTGTGATGGTTTGGGGATGCTTTGCTGCCTCAGGACCTGGACGACTTGCCTTAATAGAAGGAACCATGAATTCTGCTCTGTATCAGAGAATTCTACAGGAGAATGTCAGACCATCCGTCTGTGAGCTGAAGCTGAAGCACAGCTGGGTCATGCAGGAAGACAATGATCCAAAACACACAATCAAGTCTACATGAAAATTGCTAAAAAGCAACAAATTGGAAGTTTTGGATTGGCCTAGTCAAAGTCCAGACCTAATCCCAATTGAGATGTAGTGGCAGGACTTGAAACGAGCAGTTCATGCTTGAAAACTGACACGTCACTGAGTTAAAGCAGTTCTGCATGGAAGAGTGGGCCAAAATTCCTCCACAGCGACGTGAGAGACTGATCAACAACCACAGGAAGCATTTGGTTGGAGTCATTGCAGCTAAAGGTGGCACAACCAGTTATTGAGTGTAAGGGGGCAATTACTTTTTCACACAGGGGAATTGGGTGTTGCATAACTTTGTTTATGAAATAAATATGTAATTGTTGTGTTATTTGTTCACTTATGTTCCCTTTATCTAATATTAGGTTTTGGTATGAAGATCTGATAACATTCAGTATCACAAATATGCAAAAGTAGAGAAAATTAGAAAGGGGGCAAATACTGTCCTGTCTGTCTGTCTGTCTGTCTGTCTGTCTGTCTGTCTGTCTGTCTATCAATATATCTATCAATATATCTATGAATATGTCTGTCTGTCTGTCAATATATCTGTCTGTCTGTCTGTCTATCAATATATCTATCAATATATCTATCAATATGTCTGTCTGTCTGTCAATATATCTGTCCGTCCGTCCGTCCGTCTGTCCGATCTATCCCAGATAGAGAAGCCCATACAGCATGTTACTATAAGGACTAGATGAGTTTGGAGTTTGACCTTTGACCTTTGACCTCGCTACAGGGCCTGTCTGTCCGTCCGTCCGTCCTGTGGTGTGTGATGTCAGGGGTCATTGGTTGTGTTGACCTATAACCTATGCACCCCTTAGGCATGCTCAGTGGAATGACTTTTAGTCCAGTACTTGGTTTAATCTTCTAGGACTGAGAAATGGTCCGTCAGAGTAAAAGGGTTTAAGTCAAGTCAAGTTATGGGTTGTTGCCTTTAGAGGGAGACGTTAGAGGAAGAAAACAGCGAGGCAGGTGGAGCTTTGGAGTGGCGGGCAACGTGATTGGGTAAAAGGACAGTCAGTCACACTGCAGTTGTTGAGAGACGTTAGACAGGAAAGGAAGGACGAAGGAACACTGAGGGAGAATCTCAATTGCTTTTCCTTGACTCCTCGCGTCCTCTCTCCACGCCTTCTCAAAACCCATTAGATGAGGTCAGAGGTCCCTCCCCGTTGACCTTCTCATCCAATGGGTTTTGAGAATGAAGCGAGGAGAGAGGACGCGAGGAGTCAAGAAAATGCAATTGAGATTCTTCCGGAGACTGGTTTGATTGACAACGTGTGAGGAAGGAGCCCGAAAGCAAGAAGACAAGAAGACAAGAGGACTGAGGAAAGTACAGAGGTCATGACATTTATTCAAGGCATGCTACAATTAAAGTTGCTTTAGGAAAAAATTAAGAAGAGATTCTGGTGTAATAATAATGAGAATCATGATAATAATAACTAGAATAATCATAGTAATCAATCGAAAACATGAAGAAAAAAAAATGTTTCTATATCAAATACAGAAACTCCACTCAACCATGCACCACAAAATTAGAAAATATGTTTCTTTAATAGTTTAATCTTCTATTTGCATTTTAATTACATCAACTACTAAGGAAACCTGTTGTTTCACTCCCCACTACATCACACACACTGCTTTACAAATCAAACCTGGTATGATATCAAAATACACAAGACAAGTTGTTTTTTTTCATGTTGTGTTCATCATCTTTAAATATATATATTTTTTAAACAGGTCCAAGGCAGCCATTGTTTTTATCTCAGTATCAAATCATTTCTGGGTAACAATTAAGGACCTAACCGTGATTCAAATGATCAAAAAGAAACAAAAATAGCTTCTTGGCAAAGAGCAATTTCTCAAGCAAGAATTTTGCTAGGACTGTCTGGGAGTGGTCTGAGTGGGGGAGGGGAAAACAGAAAATTAGCTGTTATTGGCAGAGAGGTTTGGAACTCTTTCTTATTGGTCTATGAACTAATTTACCACCTGGTGATGTCAGCAGGCAGGCCAAAACTCCATCCCACCAAAACAGGCTGGAATTTCAGGAGGTCTTTTCAAACAGCTCTTACACTAAAAGGACATTATCATCATTTTCACAATTTCACAGTATTATTCCAACCTCATAAATGTGGAAATACATAGAAAACACATGAAAATCACATTTTTGACTGCACTGGGCCTTTAATGTCTCTCGTTGTTGTTGTTTGTAGCTTTCTTGTTCCCATGAACCTTTTTGGCCAGGTTTGAAAAGGGAACATGTTCGATTACAGACGTCCTCGTTGTTTATTTTGGTAGTGAAACGTTGAATATTAGCTATAAATAAGGTACATTATCAAGACGTGCCTTTGATGACACAAGAAAAACAAATTAAATCAGATCAGATGAGACACTTCCCGCACCCCAAATGACACCCTATCCTCTTTATGGTGCACTACTTTTGATCAGGGCCCATATGGCTCGGGTCAAAAAGTAGTGCACTATGTAGGGAAGAGGGTGTCATTTGGGACTCGGTCCTCTGACTGATCTCTGTGTAACTACATGCCTCTTTAAAACTCTTAACGGAACTGGAATTCTATTTAACTTCTCCAATCACTGTCTACCAATGTAATTCAGCAATAATAAGGAAAAGTCACTATTAAAGCAACACTATTGTAGCAAACTCGCGGGGTAGCCCCGGCCAGGAATCAAAACCCTGGTCCAGCGAAGGTCGCTACACTATTGATCATGACTTGATGTTCTAATAAGAGGATTCAGTTCCTTTGGTTTCAGTTCGTGTTGTCTTCTTGTACAACTCAAAAGTAAAGCTAAAGGTACATTTGGTTGTTGTTGTTTTTTGCGTTTTATTATGTGGGTCTGTGGGAATCATTTGGCTAGCTTGGTATCCAACCTGATTTTCATTAGTTTCATTACATTTCACTGTTTCAGTCTGGGTTAACCAGGCTAGGAATGGCCTCCCTTAATATGGAGATAGATTCCTGTCAAAATGTTGTAAATGATATTTTGACTGAAATGTACATCCATACTTTTACCCATGTTTTGAGAGAGCCAATGACCTCGTCTTCAGCAATGATGGTCTTTAATTTAAACAATAGTGATGGAGGGAACAAGGTGAGGATCAATGAAAGGCACATCAACTTTGGTCCTCTTTGTTTCTGTTGTTTGTGACTCTTCAGTATAAAAACGTTTGAAAATGTAAATTAAAAACAAAAGTCTGTCATCATGACTGAACTATGCTGCCTGAGTTAAGGCATGACTTGGGTCTACGTCCCAAATGGCACCCTATTCCCTATTTAGCACACTACTTTTGACAAGGGCCCATAGGGGCTCTGGTCAAAAGTAGTGCACTATTTAGGGAATAGGGTGCCATTTGGGACGTAGACTTGGAACAATTCCGTGGAGAAAGAGAGAGAACAGAGCTCAACACTGTAAAGATCTGACGGTTAGAGACCTAGAACACTTGGACATATCCAGAATGATCAGCGTTCATGATGATACAGATGATTTTACAGTCAGCCCCGGCTTCTTTCCTGTTCCGAAATGACAAGGGTTTTAAAACAACGTAGCTTTTAGACGGAGAGAATCGATCCCCAAAAGGAGGAGGAGGAGGATGAAGATCATTGACCAAGGCTGCTCAGAGGGAGACTAGCTCTGGTCCAGGGCGTTACATGCAGCTCAGCGGGAGACTAGCTCTGGTCCAGGGCGTTACATGCAGCGCAACATCAATAACCAGGATGACGGTTTATATGAGGTTCACGGTCTGAACCAGCCCTCAGACACTACATCCCAGTCTGTGTCCCAAATTGTTCCCTATTCCCTATACAGTGAGCTACTTTTGATGCAACCAAAAACTTCGGGTCGAGGTCAGTGCCAGGGGGGACTCCT